TGAGTGGGTATTGCAGGGCATCGTACGACCTATGGGTTTCAGAGATGCGCTGCAACGTTTCGGAACATTTTTCGATGATGATGTCACGCCCGTCGCTGTCGTCTTCGCCAACCAAGACCACCGCCATCTCGCTTACAGACGGAGCGTTGAAGCGTCGTTCATGCTGACCAGCAGGCCTCCTGTCAGCACGGATAACGACCTTATACTCGTCTGTAGGCATTCGGTCCAAGTTGGTCTTGAAGTCCTTCACCAGCTCGTTGTGCTGATGCAGCATTCTTTGCAGATCTAGCACGACGTCCGGCCTTGTGCCACCGATGATGCCGCAACGTTGATCCGCTTGCAGCTGCTCGTCGCAGACGAAGTACAGCTGCAAGAACTTGGGGCTATCATTGCCGTTAGGAAGCAGGGATCCAACTCTATGATAGACCTGTCCCTGCACCTTGAACGTTGGCATAGCCCTGTTCCTCAACGTCTGGCGTGGCAACTGTAGTGCCGAACGACGTCATCTGGAAGCACGCATTGTACTTCCTGATGTTCTGCAAGAAATGCCTGGACACAGCACTAGTGCCGGACATGTATGGAACGAAGCGGCTCGGGCGGCTCACGTAGAGGCGGAAGATCGACCTTGCCGATGGAGCAGCACATGCCACGAGGTTCGGCTCTGAACTTCTTGGCTTGACACTTACCATATACGACATCCATCCTTCCGATTAGTACCTTCGGATGGTTCGAGTAGTCTACCTGGGCATCGTAATTGAGTGCCGCGAGGTGAAGATCTACTCGCCTGGATGTCTGTCGAGTGTGGACATGTCGAGCGCGATCACGTTCGAGCCGTACTGAGTGCGCTGCACCAGTTTCCGCTCTTTGTGAGGCCTCGGTCCTCATTCGACGCTGTCGAGTCGAGACTCGCGCTGTTCAGCCGTCTCTTGAGATCTGGCTTCAGCGTTTCTCGACCGCATGTCTTCGAGTCGAGAACGGCGCTCTTCAGCCCGTCTCCTGAGACCTAGCTTCGGCGTGTCTCGCTCGGTCGTCGTCGAGTCGAGATGTGCGCTCTTGTCGGTCGTCGTCGAGTCGAGATGTGCGCTCTTCAGCCGTCTCCTGAGATCTGGCCTCGGCGTGTCTCACTCGGTCCTCATCGAGTCGAGAATCAAGACTTTCTTGTGACTCTGCGGCTCTCAGAGCAGCAAGCCGCAGGCGAGTCTGCGAGAGACTTGCTTCACGCTGTTCCAGCGTTTGCGTTGCTCTCGCCTCTTCTGGCACGATTGCCTTCTAGCCGTTCCTGGCGCTGCTCCGAGGTCTCAGCCTCTCGTTGATCCCTGACCTTTTTGGCCTTGGGATCAACTCTTCCGATGGATGCACGCTTCTTCGGCGGCATCCTGTAAGCTCCTCGGTACCCGAGATATGGGAGCCTCGGCTTCTCGGTACTCGAGGTAGAGCCGGCTTCTCGATGCTCGAGGTGGAGCCTGTTGGCTTCTCGGTGCTCGAGGTGGAGCCTGTTGGCTTCTCGGTACTCGAGGTGGAGCCGTTGGCTTCTCGGTTCTCGAGGAGGAAAGAGCTTTTCGGCTTTGTCGCTTGGTCCTCAGATCCTAGGTCCTTTATCAGGTCCTCAGGTCCCTAGATTTTCGGTCCTCGCTTGGTACTCAGAGCTCTCGGTGGTTCAGTGGCCGCCGGCTAGCAGAGGTGAGTGACCGACAATGGCGAGATCGGCCGCCTTATATACCCCTCGAAAAGGAGCGGGGCCGGCTGTGATTGGTCACACCAACTCGGAAGGGGCGGATAGTTTTTGCATGGAAAGCCTATGCTGAACCACACGAATTGGACCGCCCACTTTGGACTGCCCCTTGCCCCGCCCCCTTGGAGGGGTATATAAGGCGAGGCGTCGCGGCACCGCTCATTTTCGGTGGTTGCCTCGTGCCGGACGGTTGCCACACTCGGAGGACAACCATCGGATGCCTCACTCGGAGGATGCCTCCACTCGAAGGACAACCATTGGATGCCTCCTCGGAGGACAACCATCCGATGCCTCCACTCGGAGGACAACCATCGGATGCCTCACTCGGAGGATCCTTCCACTCGGAGGATGCCTCCACTCGGAGGACAACCATTGGATGCCTCCTCGGAGGACAACCATCCGGTGCCTCTAAGGACAATCATCGGGTGCCTCACTCTAAGGACAACCATCGGATGCCTCACTCTGAGGACAACCATCGGATGCCTCCATTCAGAGGAACAACCACTCGGTTGTTCCTCCATTCGGAGGACAACCGTCGGTTGTGAGACCAACCATCGGTTGCCTCTGTCGGACAACCGAGGTCGTAGCAAAAATCGAACCACTGGCTCAACACCTCCGCCGAGGTGAGCCATTCGGCCACCTCACAAGGGAAGGATACCAACATTAGTTGGCAATCAAAGATGAAATGTACATCAGTAGATGCGCCTTTGAACGCTGATTCCAAATCAGCTTTCTCTTTTTGCGGAATAAGATTCCGAAAGAAGTTATGGGCGTTTGAACGTCCAGATTTGCCAAGCATTGAGCGGCTTAAAATTAGGGAAAAGCTTTCAAACAACACCTATGCAATTTCCACCGGCTTTGTTCCTTCCTTGCAAGCAATATACTCGATACAAAAATGATTTTCCACTTTTCGGTGTTTTTGTATAGCTTTTCGCCAATTTTAGGCCACCTAAATCATGACAAATATGGACATTTGAACGCACACAACTTCTTTCGGAATCTTATTCCGCAAAAAAGGAAAGCAGATTCGGAATCAGCGTTTGAAGGCGCGTTTACTGATATACATCTCATCTTCAATCGCCGACTAATGTTGGTATCCTTCCCTTGTCAGTCGAGGCGGAACCCGCGGTTCACTCGCTGAAAGCGTACGGATATATCAACAGTCGGTGAAACCGGAATTTTTACAGAAAAATCAAAAATGTTTGTATCTCGTTTCAGAGATATCCTGGGACCTTGCGTCAAAAACACGTATATGCTAACTTTTGATGGCCAATTCAGCGGTGCTACACAAATATTTTTTCTTCTTCTCATTCGAAGACGCCATCATGATTTCCTCCCAATAAATTTAAAAAACCCCTGGAAGAACGGTTTTTTTCTCAAAATATTTTTGTATGTTTACCCACATATACAATGTGTGCATGCAAAAATTTTTCTAGGTCTAATAGAACCTGAAATCCAAAAGAGTGTTTCACAAATAAGACATTTTTCAGAATATGCCAAAAAATTTTTCAAATCCAGGCTTGCCAAAAAATCAAAATTGTGGTGATTTTAAATGATCAATGTACTCTTTCAATACATTTGATTGGCATTAGCACTCAAATTGTTTCAGGGAGGCTGTTTTGTAATCAGCGCACTCGCTTATCCCTTACCAAAATCCAGTCCCAGATGACAGGAGAAATGTTTTGATTCAGGATTGAGGATGATAAATAAAGAATAGCTCGCTTGAATAAGCATGACCAAGTACCAACTTACATCTTTCTAATCCAAGGTTCTAAAAAAGAAAGTATTGGATATTCTCACGAACCGCTACTTTCCGTAATCAGCATGCTCAGTTACCCCACTCTGCCAACTCCCACTCCCGTAGCTTGGACTTTGCAAAAAAATCGATAAAAACGATAAAAGTAATGGACCATTTCAAAAACTAATTTTTTATTCGTAATCAGCATGCTCGATTACCCCCCTGTGCCAACTCCCAGCCCCGTAGCTCAAATTTTGCAAAAAATCGATAAAATCGATAAAAGTAATGCACGATTTTAGAAACTAATATTGTATTCGGAATTCCCATGCTCACTTACCCCCCCCCCCCCTGTGCCAACTCCCAGCCCCGTAGCTCAAATTTTGCAAAAAATCGATAAAATCGATATCGATCGATACGAAAAGTAGCCTATGACCCGCCGGGGCCCGAAGTGTATGTGTGCCAAGTTTGGTCCGGATCGGTTCAGAAATGGAATTTTCTATTCGGAACATACGTACAGACAGACAGACATACATACAGACATACATACAGACATACAAACATACATTCAGCTTTATATATAAGATTCATTGTAATTCTTGTAGGAATGAACGCATGTGATGTATGTATGTACATAGTTTTGTGTATTATGTAAGACTGAACGTATGTACATGTATATATAGATATTGTTTGTTAGTATATGTATGTGTATGTATAGTATATGTTGTGTTAGTAGTATGTGTTAGTATATGTATATGTTATCATGTATAAGCATCAATCTGAGTATGTTATGTTACAGCCGCTGCGTATGTGTATGTGATTATGTGTGTAATGTAATTGTTATAAATGAATGTGTACGTGTATGCACGTGTCTTAATATATGACTATTTGCATTTGTATGTGAATGTTTATGTGCTAAGTGTTAAGTGTGTTACTAAGATGAATATGTTTTCAATCTTTTTGAGTTATTATGCGATTATTCTTTGCGAGCACCGAATCTAATCTTCATTATTTTAGTTGCAATTGTTTGTTAATATGTGACCTCTTTGTAAAGTGTTTATGGGTCTTTCTTTGTACTTTTCTTTGTACTTTGTACTTTTGACTCTCTTTGTAAACATGTTTATGGGTTTATGGAGTTTTTTGTCGTGTTTTTGTTGGCTTGATTTTGATGGAACGCGGACTACTCTTACAATTAATGGATATATGACATCGTATTGTTACAGGAATAGGTCATCGATGTTGTATGTCACCAAAAAGCCATGTGCCTTTTCTAACTCTTGATGCTAGAGGGTGACCAACATCTGATTATGTGATGTGGGAAGTAAATGATACTTAGTGGAAGTAAGCCATTTAACTAAAGTCATCTAGTGAAAGTATTATTTTTTGATTTATAAGCACTGCAGATAAGGAGACTCTGGATCTATTCCTTTCCCGCCCTTTATCAATATAATCAATAAAACGCCTGAGGTGACCTAGTCCATCTCACTAACGGTATATGAAGCGCTATCTGGTTATCTAGTCTAATATTCGATAATGTCTTCTATAGATGTGGCTGGTGCCGTCCGCAATATTCTTGGAGACAGCAATCTTAACTCTGAACTATCTACCGCTTTGGTTTCATTAGCTTCTGCTTTGGATCAGCTAAAGAAACAACAAATTCAAATGAAGGATCAGCAGGACGCTTCCACTAAAGAACTGGAATTAGTCCGTCGTATGTCGAGGACTAATTGGTTGCTTGTTAGTGCTTTATTTTATAATGTGGAAAATACGTTTTACATTGTATTTGTTGCAGGTGATCAATTTGCCGCTGCCTTTCGGCCTATCAAAAGGCCAGGCTTTGCAACGTCTGTTCGACAATTTGAATTACTCCAAACCGCTTTTTGACTCAGAACGTGATCTTCTAGCTGCAGAAATTCTTTATGTGAACAAAAACGGAGCAACTTGTAATATGGCTGTAAGTTTGTTAATTATGCTAAAAATCACTAAAGTCCGAAATTCAGTTCTTTGTCGCGCAGCATGTCCGCATGTTTGCAAAATGAGTTAGTTTGCTTGAAAAAAATTCACCTATGATGCTTGTTTTGAACTCTCGTCGCAATGAAATCTGTTTTTAGTGATTAGGTTTTACTTACTTTTCCGATAAAAGAGTTAATGGTGTTGGTCATTTCAATAATAATAATAGTATTTCTCAATAAGCTGACTTTTTTTTCTAAACTTGAGAGTGCAATCAAAGCATATTCAATATGGTATAGACGTGAATAGAGAAAAACGCTTTCCCAAGCATTTTCGAAACAATTCCCTCATACCTGCAGTGAAAAATCATTTTGGACAAGCCTACTAGGAACAAATCTTGAAATACATTAAAAAGAGCTTGCGAACTAATTTTATAATGAGAATTGACCTGAAAACTGGTTTTCAATTTAACTTAAATTTTGAAATCTACTGTTATCCACATTGCTACAACTGAAGAAGCATGAACGAAGTATTAGAGAGTTTTTCAATAGCTGCAACGCATTCCTAGACCAATTAACAAGGGGGCGGAGCGATCAGCGCACGTGTACGGTACCCAGCTGGCTGCTGGCACATGTTATCGTTCATCTTGACCACCACCCTGGAAAAGGCCCTACATTGGCGCGAACATTTTCGGTAGATCGAGATTGGGCCTAGGCTTAATTGTCCATCAACAGGAGTCTTGCTTGATGTGTAGTAAACTATACTTTACTTGTTTATTCAGTACACTTTGTTAAACATAAACATTCAAAGGGACCTACAGGCGCAGGATTCTTCGAAGAATTACAAAATGACGTCCCGTGGAAGAGTAATGATATAATAGTCGGTGCAAAAAATGTTTCCGTTCGAATTACTCGCAATCTATATAGTGTAAATCCTGGCCAGCTTCCCATATGTACGTTCGCGTAGCGCAGGCAGCGCATACCTTTGATGCGCGTTTCCTCCCAGCCTCTGGTGGTTTTTATTCGTTTTTCTCTTAACAGACATTGTTCTTTCGTAATTCTTTCTATTAACGATCCACGGAAAATCGATGGTGGTACATTTTTAAGAGCCTCAAAAGTATTGAGAGCTTTTGTCTTAGAAAGTTCTCATTTTTTTTCTTCAATAGTAAAGATTGAGTGTATTTTAGGGAGATTTCTCTTCAGAAGTTTCTATTACGGACTTAGCGTATCTTTCCACTAGTGCTCGTTTTGTATAGATGCTTTAGTTCCTTTTCAATGCGGCATTGAAGCTTCCGCTTATGCAATCACCTTTCGAGCTTGGCTTCTCAGGTTTTATGATTACAAAAAGAAAGCGATTCAGGAATAATTCTCGTTGTGATATCCTACATTCTAGATCACATCATGGGCTATACGAGATCCAGAAAGGAATGTTGGACAATTTTCAAGTACACATGAATATCTAAGGAGTTGCTGATTGCCACATAACCACATTAGCTTCCAGGTCCTGAAAGAGTATTGGTAAATAGAATTTGAACCCAGAAAATGGGTAGAACTTATGAAATAAACAATATATTAGAGCCAGGTTGTTGAAGCTGTGTGTTCGATGGATTTTGCAGCTTTACTAATGATTACATTTAATCTTCATCAAAATTAAACAACGTCACTGTAAAATTCATTCACGGTGACTTTTCCAACAAAGCACATAAAGCCCTACGGTAGTTTTTTGCTTTTTAGCTGAAATTTTTTCGCTATTCTCTCAATTTTCGCATATTTTCCCGGTTTCCATTTTACATGATAGTCACATAGTCAACACGAAGTTTGCCATCCACAACATACCCTAAAAATATTTTGTATGAAAGGACATACAACTTACAAGACTATAATAGAAATGTTAGGAGGTGGTAGAGAAGGATCATACTGTAACCTCCGTTTATAGTTAACTTAATTCCTCAGACCATCTTGGCAGTGTCTGCTTAAAATTAGACGGTAGCCTCAAAGCGTAGCCACTGCGCTACTAACAAGGCGCTGAAGGAAGGTTTCGAGAATTTACTTTTGGAAAGTTGTAGAAACGCTGTCGAGTACCGCACAGTACCAAAAGCGCTTAGCAAAAGCACAAACTTCTGTGAGCAACAAAAAATGAAACAATTTTCTGTTCCAAATTGGGAGTTATCCAACACAGGATTTATCCGTACAACACAGTTAATATATTTCAGCGGGGAATGTAAAATTTTAGGCCAATACGCATGAATATCTCTGCGGTGAGGTTAATGACGTCCCCAATAGATAAAAAGCAGCAACGGCGGCCCCTTCATAACGGAGGGCGCAGCTCCCTCGCCGCAGGGACATTGGTGCATACGGACCTTAGATAAAGCTTTGAGTCATTCTCTCTATTGAGTGTGGCTTTACCTGCTAGTATATATCTACTTCCTGTTTTCATGCTGTACACAGTGCAGATGTATAGATTTTTTTGCTCCACTTAAACTTCGCTTGCAAGCCCTATGACCAGTAATCAGTGTTTATGTGTAAATGTTTTACTAAGGCTGAATATACCTTTCTCACATAGCGTAGAACTTCCTGATCGCGACACCGTACTTGATCTTTGGAAAAAGTGGCTGCGGGAATTTGTTAAGAGGCTGCTACTTCGACTGAACATCCACAAGTGCCACTACAATATCGTAAGTTCAACCAAGCAAGTTGCTTGGTCTAGAATTTCGTATCAAATTCCTTTATATTTGATAAAAATGCATTGTCAGCTGCTCATACTGCAAAGTTCACATCTACAAGGTTCACATTCTTTACGTCCTGCAATAATAATCTTACCGAAGTCAAATTGGCAAATAAAGGACTTCAAAAAAGAAGGTTTTGCGCACGAACATGCATCACATGCAGTCGTGCAAACGACGAGTACCAAGAGCCGCATGTCTGAGACAACACCAAGCACAGTAGAAAGTGAGGTGTAAGATATAGAAAGGTTTATTACTTGGCTCTGCTTTATATTTGACTTCGTTATGCTCGTCTTCTTTTTCGACAAAGCAGGCGCAAGCTCTATGATGGACAATATTGGGTGTATACAATCGGACAGCACTAATAAAGGACACTAATGAATTTTCCAACTGTAATCATCACTGTTCAGTAATTGTACTTGAAAGTCAACCAAGTCGACTCTTTGACTTAGCACTGTAACCGACTGACTTGCTTTCACATGGAAATAGTGTCCTAGTGTTTAACATGTTCATGCTTGCTTCCAACACGGTAATAGCCTGGAAAAAGACTTTTGTCGGGCAAATTTACTTTGAAATCACATTGAATCTAAAAACTGGAAGGCGGTAGTCTACCCGGATGCTGCTGTTTGACGCAATAAAATCCCAGATTCGTTCGCGCTGACCAAAAGGAAGTACTCTTTTGTCTTTCAGATAAACTTCAGTTTCCAGGTCATACAGTGAATCTTCCAAATTTTGAACTATTCTCTTTTTTCGACTCACAACCCATTAGTATGCAAGAAAAATATTAGAGTTTTTGTGTCCTTCGGAGTCTCTGTCTCCACCTCTCTTAGTTCATAAATACTGGAAACAATGGCAGGGTTTTGCCGCCAAGAAATTATCGCTAGACACCAAATTACCAAAAAGGTCTCCTAGAAACGGACCATGCTTAATAGTTATGTCTCTACTACGAATAAAAAACATGAATTTTCGTACCAGCATTTGGTTGCTGCGTTTTGCCACATACGAAGAATTCAAGAAATGAAAAAGTTGTCTATTTGAGATTGAAGGAAAGCACCTCGTTTATAACTTGAGATTGTAGCCATCCAATGAACTTTTTTTTTCAAAAAATTCTAGGATCAAACGAATGGTTCACGGCCCAAAAAATCTTAAACTGCTTTTGACAGTTTTCGAAAAGAACTCAGTTGTAGAAGTATTGAAAGCAAGTCTTTGCACAAATCTATAGTACAAGCCATTTCTAAAATGTCGTTTAGATTGGCCACTTCGACTTCTGACCATTCCCTTGTTATTCAATGCTCTTCTGGGAAAAGCTATGAGCGATGGTTTCCCCAGGATGACCATGGATCGTTTAAGTTAGAGAGCCGAGAAATGTCAGTTGTGGAGGGATGGCCGAGTGGATGTGTGGAGACTATAGAGGAAGTGATAAAAAGTTTGGAATACTTATCGTCGAGTCATTTTTAATTCAATATGCATAGTGCACACTATGCACGCTAACTGACGAACTGCGAAACTAGAACCTGCTTATTTCCAGTGATTGCTCCTTGTTTCCTCGCTTCTTTTGTTTTCGTTGGTTATATGTTAGTCAGTAGAACACATTTCTAATTTTGTTAGCTTAGAAAATGTTTTAGTGGGAAGTTACTAGTACGTCGCTAATAGGGCTTAGTGTGTAATCTCACATATTAAGTTACAAATGACTCGAGGTTATGTTCCAAATCTTCCATTTTGTAGATTGTATTGTCTGATATGTATCCTTAGGCCCCGGGCAGACTTCACGCGATTTGATCGTCGCGACTGAATCGCGACAAGACAACTGTTACAACATCATTCCTGCCAATCAACTTGCATTTCGGTGTGATGCTTTTCCAGCCCGGAATTTTTGAATGTAAGATGCAAATGAATGGAAATCTCGGCAATTAGATCGCGACGATCAAATCGCGTGAAGTCTGTCCGGGCCCTTAGAGGGCTTAAGGAAGAGAAAGACCCAGCACAAGTTGAATAATTTGCAAGAATGTTGGGAACATAAGTATTCCGAACGTTCTACCACTTTATAGTCTCCGCAGCTATCCACTCCGCCATCCCTTCACAACTGACACTGCTCAGCGCCGCTAACTTAAGGCTCCCGCCAGAGTGCCGAAGTTATGCCAGCGCTTCGCCAGCATTTCGATCGATACACGTGTATTTCGTTGGGGACGTCAGCTAGCCCCGCCCCAACAAATACACGTATCGATCGAAATGCTGGCGTAGCGCTGGCATAGCTTCGGCACTCTGGCGGGAGCCTAAGGGATCCGTGGTCATCCTGGGAAAACCATCACTCGTAACTATTTCCAAGATCAATGAGCAGCTAAGGAGCACTATCAGTTCCTCAAGACCAGCGCAATAATACGCACGTGGGAACTCCACTTCGACCGAGGGTCGCTGATACTAATAGAATTCGCAAAACATCATCATCGTCATAAATGCATACACAGAACGCAAGCTAATGGTGTAATGCTGCTGACGTAATGATATAGATTTTCAGAGATGATCTGCGACAATTCTATTGACTCATTCAAAAAACTGATGAAAAAAATGAAATTAGATGAATTGCTTGAAATCTTAAAGGCTATCAGCATCGCATGTCACTCACACCAGTGCAGTGACTTTGCAAAGTTGCCAATTGAGACTAACTGCTCTTAGCAAACTTGAATGGGGAGAACTTTTATCCACTTTTCCCATAATCAAGCAAAGAAAAGAATGAAGTCCTACTATCAGAAAAAAAACTCAGCCGTAAACTCTAGACAAAAGCTTCCTCTTTTACTCGGTTTCGATACACAAATGAAACGCACATATTAAGATTGTTATGAGTAAAGGTACAAACCTTTGTTTGAAGCCAGTGCAGAATGTTGTAACAATCAAAAACACACGCACACGTTTTTAAATTTTTTTTTGTGTTTTAGTGCACCTTCGTGTGTATTTACAGGTAAATAGATATTTTACGAGATTTTTCGTCTTTTATATATAATGCTGAATGTCTGCCTGCCATTCTGGTTGGCTGCTGGTTCGCTGCCTCTGCGTAGCTGTATATCTTTATGTGTGTCTGTACGTTTATTGATGAATCTATCCGAACCAAACTTTGCGCACATACACATCAGTGCGAGTGTCGTAGGCTACCCTTTAATCTATCAATATGATTTTTCGATTTTTGCAAACTATCTACGCGGCTAAGAGATGGCCAGATTTGTAAGAAGCACACTGACTACCAATACACAAGTTTTCAAAATTAATTACTGGAAATAAGCATGCAGCTCAAGACTACAGTAAACGTTGGCGAATACACAACCAATACTTTTAGTTTTATCGATTTTGTGCAAAGTTTGCGCTATGAGGCTGAATTTAGCACAAGGGTGTAAGGGATGTTTCCAATACACTTGGAATATAGGGCTAAAAACCCTCAAGCCAATGATGGTCAGTTTTGCATCTAAATTAACTTCGATTGAACTGAATTAGCATTTGCAGTGTTTTCTACAATGTGTGAGACTGTAGCCATGTTCAAGTTTTTTTCTCATGTATGGAGCATAGGACGTCCGCGCTGTGCTCGGAGAGCAACGCTGTTGCGTCCATTCGAGGCAGTTCATTACTGAGGAGGCGCAGAGAAAAACAGGCAGCGAGAGTGTACGAAGATAGAGGAGTGACGCGCAATACACACCTTGCGCACTCTCCGCGCCCTGCGCGGACGGCCTATATTAGCGAGCTGTTTGATTCTTGCTGTTTTAGC